GATATTCGGTAGAATAACCTGTAAGAGTGGATGTGCGGATAGCGTACAGGTTATTGGCGCGAAAAAAAGTTCAAATTCTGATCGAGTCTGTTTCGTTCACATTGCACTATTGCTCCTGGAAAAGGTAAAAAAATCCATCTCTTCACTCGCCAGCTATCGGTTGAATAAGATGACGTAGTCGATTCTCTTACCATGGGTGGCAGTCAGTTTAGGTGAATGAAAACTCTAAATTCAAAGCTCCACTGCCTTTTGAGCATCTTCAAGAGAAATAAGGCTAAGGATTAAATCTTACAAGAATTGAAAATATATTTAACATATAACAAATGTTAGTCTATAATACCAAAATTTAAACAGCACTCGTTGCAAGGAAAGACTCACAATACACGAAGCAATTATTAGATAAAATAAACAAGCCGCATTAAATAAAATATATTTCGCTACAGGAGACGGCATCTTGAAGTGATTCTAAGATATTTAACATAAATAATAATAATAATAATAATAATAATAATAATAATAATAATTGTACTTGTCCCCATCTTCTTTAGTTCCTAACACTGTTAACTCCAGCCAATACCGCATAAAGAATGGACTATTCTGTTTTGATTGCGTGGAAAAAAACACATATCAGGGACGCTACTTGGTTTCAGTGAGAAAATGAATGAAAGAAAAAAGAAAAAAGAAAGAAGGAAGGACAGAGGTTTTTAACGGCTGTTTCAGTCAAATGGAAAAAGTTGTCAATTTTAAATCTTTTCATTTGTATCCATTTCTTAAAATAACAACAGGCATACATATTTATGACTGTTATTGCAATATCTTGTTAAAATTGTAAATATGAAATATTTAACGATGCGATTAGGGATATTTCCACGGATATTTTATTGGCATTGAACTCACCATAAACTTATTCAATCATTAACTGAAAAATTTTCGCGGGTTTTACTACTACTACTACTACTACTACTAATAATAATAATAATAATAATAATAATAATAATACTAATAATAATAAAGATCTTCCTTGACCATCTGGGGGAGGGGATATTTTACCAAATTGGAGTTATCCAAAAATTAGCTCTTTTGCAAATAAACGCATGTTTTTGAGTTAAAACTGTTAGCATCTGTTAAAGTTCCTTGGCTTTATGACTTGGCAGACCAAGTCTTTTAATGTTTTCAGTGGATTAAAAAACTTAAACTGGGTGATAAGACATACAATAATAATAATAATAATAATAATAATAATAATAATAATATTAATAATAATAATATTTAACTGGACAACGCATTTCGGTTAACTGTTAGCAAATGATGTTAGTTTGGACTGTTTCAAATTTTCATCTCTCTTATAAAAATACACCGATGTAGTCGAAAAAATCTTGCCTGACCACACTGTAACATAGCACATGGTTCTATCAAAATAATAACCTGAGATGAAATAGAAAATGTGGAAATAAAACAAAACAGACATTAACTTCAGATCATTTATCTACGATGTTGATCCCGATGTACATCTTATTAGAAAATTGGAAAATCAAAAAGTTAAAGAGACTTTAGTAGTTGAACTTAATAATAAAAAAAAAAAAAAAAAATATTTACTAATCTCGGATCTTCAGGCCTTAGGTCTTTCAGGTTTGGTGTGTATATATATATATATATATGATATATATATATATATATATATATATATATATAGTTGTATAAAGGGTGCGATGGATAAATCGTCGTTTAGTTTACCGTAAAATCAGGGACATCTCATTTTAACAGATATAGAAACCAAAAGAACAGGAAATATATTTTGAAATTTATTCAATAAAATTCATCAATTTTAAATCACCATTTGGCTTAAAATAACAACGGCTTCTAGACGACTGTTATTGAATCTTGTTAAAATTGTCTTCTGTATTTAACGATGCGATTTGTTTATTTTGGTGAATATTGCCATTAAATCCCATGCCGTCATTTAATCATTCTGAAAAATTTTACAAGGGTTTTTTTGGTCTCTCTCTCAACTACTACCCTTAATAATAATAATCAAGTGGGTTGATATCTGGGAATAATAGGTGGTCCCTTGATGGATCTGGGGAGATATTTCATAAATTGTCTGAAAATCACTCTTTAGGTTCTCCATATTTTGTGTGGTTGTCTGTCTGAGTCCTGTTGACACACATAGGCTCTTTCAGTGTATTAAAACCCATTAAACCCAGGATAGGACTACTTATTCAATGAACTTAATTTAGGCACCCGTGTTGAGACTGGGGTTAGTTTGGACTGTTTCGGCATTTTTTTTTTTCTTATAAAAACAACCGATGTAGTCGAGTTTTCCGAGCTGGCATAACATGGTTCGTAAACAATTCGTTTAAAACAAAACTGCACTGTCCACATCATTTATCAACCAAACCACTCTGAAATGTTCGTATTGGAAAATCAAAACGTTAAAAGCATGTCGTTTTCAAATTTATTTGGATGAATTGCGTAACCTCGGATCTCCTTTCTCTAGTTCGGTTTTGTTATAATATATATATATATATGTGCAGTGGACAAAATCAAAATGTCGAAAATCGTCGACAATTTACCTATCGTTCATCTCATTTTAACAGATATATTGCGTATATATATATATATATATATATATATATATATATATATATATATATATATATATATATACGACAGGAATCTCCTGTTGCTTCTACGGTCTTTATTCAAAAATGGTGAATGAATCATACTTGCCAATCAGTTAATCACTTGTGTTAAAGGGTTTTATTTTTGCCCTTCCTTGCCATAATTTAAGTGGGGAGTGCCCTTTGTCCCCGATGGCTGATGGTGTCTAAATGCCTTACTTTTTGCCTATGGCACACTGCAATTTTTTTTCTAAGCTCTATACTAAACATTAAATCTATTTACGAAAAAAGAACTAAACAAAATGAACACAAAACAGTTTTTTTTTCTTTCAGAAAAAAGGACTCGTAACTGTAAAAACCGAATGCAAAAAAGAATGTTAACACCAAATACTTTTTTCACACCCAACCTAATTATGCGGAATCAGAATCAACGTTGAGTTTAGGCAAGCGAATGAGCCAATTGGAGTAAAGTGCCATGCAGATTTAAATTTTTCAAACTTCTGACGAATACAGCTATCGATTTTTTTTGCATGCTAGCATGCTATTTAACATTCGTGTCAGTCAGCTGTTGACTCTCACTCTGGCCAATAGAATCTTCCTGCCTATTCGTGGCAGTCAGCTATTGGCTCTCACTCTGGCCAGTAGAAAGTGGCCGCAAACTACATGAAAGCTGCCGTAGAAGCATGAAAATATCGATTATTTCTACTATTGATGGGAGTTGGGAAATGCAAAGTCGGCCTTGGCCTTCCCGCTAACTTGAAGCATGTGCATGTAAATTTTGGTGCAAATCCGTCGAAAATTGCGGCCGTGCATTCGTTACACACACACACACACACACACACACACATACACACACATACACACACACACACACACACACATCCTGCCGTTTATATATATATATAATATTTTTCTCGCTACATAAACATTTCTATGTTTCGGAACTTAAAATTGTTGCTATCATCAGGCGATATTTGGTAACTTATGATGAAAAAGATTTAGTTTTGAAAACAGAAAACTATACGCTATTAATTGAAGATTTAAAAAAGATTAAAATATATTTTCCTCTACGTTGTATCGAGCACTTTTTTAAGAGGAAAATATTCCTATTTATGATAGAAATTATTAGGAGGATTTGATAACTATATTTAAGTAATTCATCGAGTCCAGAAAGCACTGGACGGCCGTTTCGTCCTATATTTGGGACGCGTCAGCACAACTGAGAATTGAAACCCTGACTGTTAGGTCGTCCAGCAAACCTCATACCAACTGTTCCACCGGGCTTCGGTGACGAAGAGATTGCAAATCAGACTCAATATAGCGCCGCTCGCTCGCATATTCCGTGGTGGAACTCTTACTGAGTTCTCTGTAACCATAGGACTGTGCCCCCTGGAGCCACGACTACTCTCACCAAACCGAGCATTAGAAGCCGCTTCAAGCAATGATGTACATGATAGAAATAGACATATATATATATATATATACATATATATATATATATATATATATATATATATATATATATATATATATATATATATATATATATATATATATATATATATATATAATGTCATCCACAGACAGACTGTTTCGCTGTATCACAGCTCTTCAGTGTGGCTAGACGTCCGGTTGCTTCTAGTTAGGATCGAAACCCGACTGAATCATTCAGAGATTCTACCACTAAACAGTCGGCGCACGGCAGGGATGAAGGTGAATTTAAGTGTATTTATTTTTTAGATAAACACACAGTGACCACCAGGACTCAATTCGCTTTACCGAAGAGTCTCGCTATACCAGCCATAATAGTCACTGTTTACAAAGCCACATTTCCTTCACCGGAGAGCTCAACCGAAATTACAAATGCTTAGAGGTACAAAATCTGTATACTGTTTTAAAAACAAGGAAATTATTAATGGTAATAGTCCCTAAGACCTTTTCGTCCAACATCTCATCAGGAGAAAATCGTTGGAAAAATTGATAAACTAAACGAAAAGAACAACAATGAAAATGAGTAAAAAAAAAAAGGGGAGGAAACACTCTAAAATCAATAACATATAAGTATATATACTTATAACGAGGGGAGGGGAAATCGCGTGTAAATAATGAGCGGGGGGCAGTTAAAATAAAATATCCCCCAACAAATTAAGGGACTTCACAAAATCCTTCGGCCGGCAAAGAGAAGGTTTTCGTAATCCTATACAGATTGATTCCAAAATCTTCAAATGATTGTTGGAACCAGCTAGGTGACTAATTTCGAACCACTCTTTCGTATACGACTTGCCACAGGCTATATTCTCTACTAGGTGTTGACCAATAGCCGATTCCATTTTTGTAGAGGGAAGATAACATATGTTATCTATTTTGCCATGTCATATTTCAAAAGAAAGAAAGAAAGAAAGAAAGAAAGAAAGAAGCACTTTGACAATACCTAATACGAAAACATCACAGATAGTGACTGGTTTCCACGAGAAAAAAAATTGAAAGAAAGAAAGCAAAAAAGTTATAGTGGGCGTTAACGTTCTCGTCTGTTTAACATCTGCTTTAGTGAAACGGAAAAGTTTGTCAATTTCGAATCTTTTTATTTGTACCCTCTTACTTCTATGAATAATACCCTGCATTGATACTTGATTGCCATTGCAATATTTTTCATTTAAAGCACACTGAGTCATTCAGATTTTTCACAATAGCGTATACCTGCTCAATTTCGTGAACCGGGCTTTATTGTGAAGGTCGTCGTAACCGAACCGGTCAAAACACGCCGGATCACATGGTGATTACTCCTGAAAAGGGGGGGGGCGTAGCTTCGAATCCGTCATTAATTTTTCTCAAGTACGCAGTTCGTTAGACAAAATAAATACTGTTTAAAATAAAAGAGACGTCTACTCAAATAAGGGTATCCACTAAAATAAAAGATATATATATATATATATATATATATATATATATATATATATATATATAAAAATATTAATTATTATATTCTGTTGTAAATTTACATTGAGCAAAGTTTTGATAAACAGTAAAATAAAAATATCTATAAGAACAGGCCGGTAAATTATATATCTTACTGTTGTTTTGTCCATTTTTGTCCATATATATATATATATATATATATATATATATATATATATATATATATGTATTTTTAAAGCCCGTTTTATTCCTCTTTTAATTTTCATATTTCATTCTTCATATGACCCCAAATTAATGTCATGAGGTTAATAATCGTGTTTAATTTTATAAAACTTCTTCCCTTTAAGACAACTAGCTTCCACCCTCTCCTGACTCCATCTCGTGCTTTTCGTCTGACTGAAACATTGAAATGGATAAATTGCGTATCAATTTTTCGACAGCTTTCACAGTTAAATTTCTATTTATGACACAGGCTCAGTCCACACCGGTGTTGATAAGATACACGACCGATGTCTGCCGAAATAGGCTATTCCCCATATGAGGTGATTTGGGATTTTATTATTTATTAATTATTTGCTCTGTAATAATAAATGCATTGAGCTCTTTTTGTGGATCAGTTTTAATATTTTTTATTACTAGGATCCACTTGGATTATATACTAACGGATTTGTTACATTTACTATATATATATATATATATATATATATAATGATGAACAGTACTTACTTTCATCGCATTAAACCTAGTTAATAACCTTTAACCTCAGTGTCTGACAGTTGGACATTTGTTACACCCCCCCCCACCGCACACATATACACAAGGTTATAAACACTGTCTAGGATGAAGAAGAGACAGGTACAGTTCTTGACGAACTGGGTCTCAAAGAATTGTGCCATGAAAGAGTGAATGTCTCTCTTATAGGTCGGTCAATCGGGATTTATGATTGTTGTGTTGCCGTGTACGAACAGATCTCTCACGCGAGACAGGTTGACAGGAATCAAACCGCTCTTTTAGTGCGTGACACTTTGATTGAGTTCGAAGAAAAAACGAAACAAAAAGAAATTTTAAATGTTCAAACATATTTTTTTTATTCTTAACAATCAATGCAAATCCGCTACAACAGCCGTGAAACAAATGAAACAAAATATACAATGACTCGTTCGTAGAGATAATTATTTCGAATTAGAATTGACTTTAATTGTGATAAGATCCAGAGAAGAATCAGCAATATTATTTGTCCTGATCTGGCAGCTCGGCATCAGTCATTTTCCCACCGCCGTAAGGTTGCCTCTCTGTGTCTTTTCTATAAATACTTTCATTTTAACTGTTCGGATGAGCTCTTCGTTATGATACCAAGACTGTATGAATTTAAACGTAGTACTAGACTGTTATTGAGATCTCATCAATTTACAGTTTGTAGAGGACTGTGTGGGTTTGAGTGTTGTATTAGGAACACGTGCTGTTTATTCCTGCTAGAAGAAAATAGTGGACTGAAGTTGAGTCCAACCGAAGATGTAAAGAAAACAAACAAGACCGATATATATTTGTCAACAAATATATGTATTCTACAACAAATTTACAAGTGACAATGACATTAACATTTGAGTTTGTGTGTGAACGTAAAGAGTTTGTATTTTGATGAATGTTCGTACGTACGTGTATGTGTGTTTCATGGCGTTTTCCCACAAGTTTTTAAATACGCCCGCTGAAATGCAAAGTAGAAAAGAGATCGAGGCCAGTATTTATAGTGTAGGGAGGGCGACCCCTAGTGAACAATTAGGGAATTAATGAGGAGCTAACTCCGACAAGTTGGTCTACCTAGATGTAGCCGTAAGTTCTATGCTAACGCTTTCTTTTCTCGCACTTCTCGCTTGTGGAACACCCTTCCGGTCCTATAATTTCCAGCCAACTTTAATGTACAAAAATTTAAATGCAATGTCACTCGTTATCTATTGTCCTCCTGATTGCTTTTTACTTTTTATCCTCATTGTTAATGATTCTGTTTCTAATTATTCCACACCCTGTAACCCCTTGTGCCTTAGTGGATTTATTGCCTTGATTGGGGTGATATCGATTAAAGAAAAAAAGTTATTCGCATGATAATTAGTTTTTAATTTTAGGTTCGTTCGTTCGTTCTTCTTCTCATTATTATCATTATTATTATTATTATTATTATTATTATTATTATTATTATTATTATTAAACTATAAATAGCAATATTTATCCTTCAACAATATCCTTCAATATATGAAACGTTAACTGCTATTTTCAGTTATTGATTTCTTCATGCAAGTCTTATCTAATGAAGAGCATTTTCTTTCTTTCGAATCAAGATGAAATGTAAGCATTCGGCTAAAATGGAATCAGATGAACCAGAAGAAAGAGAAAATGTAAACAACCGAATCAGTTATGACACTGAAATTTCGAATCATGAAGTGGCGATGAAATTGTTTTGAAGGCACATCATGAGGAAAGAGGGCTTAGAAAATTTAACCTTCACAGGACATCTTGAAAGCAAGAGAGATTGAGGAAAACTGCATGACAAATAGAAGCCACCGTTTGAATGGTATCTCTTTTAAAACCAGCTAAATAAAAACTGTCGCCCTTTGTTTAAACAACAGTAAAATATTTTTTTTAATAGCAGTTACCTGGGTCTTTTTGTCAACCTTTAAAATGTGGGAGGTATTTCTGTCACACCCTGTAGAATGAAGAACGACAATGAAAAATATTTACACAAATTTATTTCGTTAATTCTCAGATTCTGGTTCGTGTATACATACCATTGTCGTTTGAACAGTTCCAAGGGGATCACCTTTATTACCCAGTTACGCCTATTTTTGTATTTTTTTCTGGATCAAGATCCTAGGAAATAAGCTGAAGGAACTAAAACCGAGGCCGTCCTGGGTACGCCGATAAACTACATCCGCGTCCTGGGTAAGACGAGAAACTGTATCCGCTTCCTGGGTATGACGATAAACTGTATCCGCTTCCTGGGTATGACGATAAACTACATCCGCATCCTGGGTATGACGATAAACTATGCGAGGTCTCTGATCAGGTGGTTTTGAGGAACGTGGAATCACCTCTTAATTGCTGGTGTTCCCAGGTCCACCCTGACCCTGTTAGGGTCCCAACTATAAGCAAATAGTTACCCACCCCCTTCCGCATCACTGTGAAAATGTAAAAATAAGTTTTAATACCAGCAATGAATTTTTTGACGAAAAATTATTACCAGCAATACATTTTTGAAGGAAAAGATGTTTTCAGCAATACATTTTTGTAAATAATTATTACAGCAATAGATTTTTGGAAAAAATATTACTAGCAAAACAAATCTTGTCGGTATTATATAACCCATTGAGGTTGATATACCGTAAAACAAACCAAACCAAACCAAACCTAAACTTATAAATAGCATTTTAAAAGAACATTGTTTTAATTTTTACGAATAGACTAGCAGTTTATTTTTAAAATTATAAATAGCACTTAAAATTATATCAGCGTTTTTATTTTTTTGAATTATAAAGAGCATTAAAATATATTAGTGTTGTTCTTAAATTTAAAATTATACTAGTGTTATTTTCATTTTTAAAATTAATAATTTTTTTCATGCTAATTCATTTGCCAAATCCTTCTCCGTTCACTGTTTGCTAAAATTGTTGAAACGTGGGCATCTTTTACGGCATTCTTCATGTCTCTTACGATATAATTTAGGCTCGATTTCGGATTGGCTAAAACTTCCTTTGTGGTTTTAGTCATTCCTTATATTGAAATTTTCCTTCAGTTCTGATACGTTATCCGATACCTGCTCTGCTAAGACAAGCCGATAAAATAATGTATCCGCCATTATTTTTCAGATGTTGGCATGGTATTTTCTTTTATATCGTAACCTGTGTTATTAGTTCTCCAGGCATAACGTGGCTGATTATTGCCCCAAATCTCAATTTTGATTTCGTTTGACCAAATAATTATTAACCGGAACTAAAAACTTTGTAGGCAAGTCTAAACGAGACTTTCTCTATTTTCATGCAAACCTTCCGTGAAATCCTTTTCGGTTCAAATGTTCTACAAATTGGTGAGACACGTAGATCTTATCTAACGTTCTTAAGACCTGTTACCATAATGCTTTTCGTTCCATTTCTGATTGGCATAAACTTCCTTTGTTCTTGTCTGAATTTCTTGCATGAGGAGATATCATTATTTACACTATTTATATTCCGACTATTTTCCTCATTTTGTTGTTGTTGCAACAACCTTTCGGTCGTTGTACCTGCCGGCCTTCCTCAAGTGTATATCGATCTCTGTAGCCTACAGGGAATTCTGAACTGAACTCTTTATTCAATTTATGAGGTCGGGTAGACTGTTCTAGTAACACAGCTCATGTCTAGGAATACCGTCTAGTTCTTATTTTGATTTAGAACTGGTCAGTTATTGCTCGACCGTTTCCACTAACTGAAAATACACATTGCCCGACCCAGGAATTGAACTCACCAAATTCACAAACTAATGCTTTTACCTACTAGGCCATTGTCCCGTAGATGATATTTCTATGGAAAGAGAATATAATATAAACAGTATAAATAATGACTTCCTTTGTTACTCCTTACAGGTGGAAAACTTCTTTGGACAACATGATCTTCAAAGCGTCGATACGGTATAAATTTTCCCAATTTAATTCCCCTCTCCAAGTTCTCCACTGTCTTAACCGGGTATTGAAATAACACTATTTGGGTCCTGTCACTGGATCTAACCAACGCCTTTATCCACATGGCACAGTGGATAAAGGCGAATTAACAAGAGATAACTGATAACTGACATCCATTAGACACGACACGTGGAACTAGAACAGTCTACCCCAGTGAGCAAAATAAAGGGTTCAGTTCGACATTCCAACCGCCTGAAGAAGGCCGGAGTGTACAACGGCCGAAACGTTGTGATAAATATGGCGACAAAAATGAGGACAATAGTCCGAATAATATAAATAGTGTACATAATATCTAATCTCAGAAATATAGACAGATACTGAAGGATCGGATAAATATGGCGACAAAAATGAGGACAATAGTCCGAATAATGTAAATAGTGTACATAATACCTCATCTTAGAAATATAGACAGATACTGAAGGATCGGATAAATATGGCAACAAAGATGAGGACAATAGTCCGAATAATGTAAATAGTGCACATAATACCTCATCTCAGAAATATAGACAGATACTGAAGGATCGGATAAATATGGCGACAAAAATGAGGACAATAGTCCGAATAATGTAAATAGTGTACATAATACCTCATCTCAGAAATATAGACAGATACCGAAGGATCGGATAAATATGGCGACAAAAATGAGAATACTAGTCCGAATAATGTAAATAGTGCACATAATGCCTCATCTCAGAAATATAGACATTTACTGAAGGATCGGATAAATATGGCGACAAAAATGAGGACAATAGTCCGAATAATGTAAATAGTGTACATAATACCTCATCTCAGAAATATAGACAGATACCGAAGGATCGGATAAATATGGCGACAAAAATGAGAATACTAGTCCGAATAATGTAAATAGTGCACATAATGCCTCATCTCAGAAATATAGACAGATACTGAAGGATCGGATAAATATGGCGACAAAAATGAGGACAATAGTCCGAATAATGTAAATAGTGTACATAATACCTCATCTCAGAAATATAGACAGATACTGAAGGATCGGATAAATATGGCGACAAAGATGAGGACAATAGTCCGAATAATGTAAATAGTGTACATAATACCTCATCTCAGAAATATAGACAGATACTGAAGGATCGGATAAATATGGCGATAAAGATGAGGACAATAGTCCGAATAATGTAAATAGTGTACATAATACCTCATCTCAGAAATATAGACAGATACTGAAGGATCGGATAAATATGGGGACAAAGATTAGGACAATAGTCCGAATAATGTAAATAGTGTACATAATACCTCATCTCAGAAATATAGAGAGATACAGGATAGATAGGTTCGCCTATTGTCCTGTTAACGTTGCTCTCTAGTCTTTTGAACAGGAGTAGAGGTTTATCCAAAGATTTCTGTTTAGGATTGTGTTTCCGGTTTCTTCTAAAGTCTACTTCAACTCTATACTTCTGACATCTCCGTCTGAACGCTGAAATTTCTTTAAGTTGGTTCTCTTTTTTACGCCAGAAGGTTTTTCTCGCCTGAGTCCATCCTTCAAATATACAAATCTACCATTCGTCCCTGCATGGAATACTGTTGCCATATATGGTCTGGTGCCCCACCCCCCCCAACCGCTGTTCATCTCGAGGTTCTCGACAAAATCCCAAAACTGATATGCACTGTGATAGACATCTCGACTCTGATATGCAATGTGACCTGGCATCTCGACTCTAGTCAAATTCTCACAGAAGTGATGTGGCTTCCCTCTGTCTTTTCTAAAAATATTTTCATGGCTGACGAGCTACTATCACTGGCACCCCGAGTGCATGAATTTAAGCGTGCTACTGGGTTGGCATCTCGGTCCCACCTTTTCTCTGTCGAAACAGTTAAATGTAGCTGCCTCTTCTACTCCAACAGCTTCTTCACTTGCACTTCCCGACAGTCGAACTCCCTTCCACTTACTTGCTTCTCTGATACCTATAATCTTCAAATATTCAAATATAATGTCAATCGACATCTTCTGATGCCTTGATCTTGATCCCCGTCCTTCTCTTTATCCTTTCCATATACACGCCTCTTTACTCTTACTCTCTGTAACCCCTTACGTGCTAGTGAAACTCCCGCCTTGCTTGTGGGTGAAATGCTTTAAAAAACTGTGCACAAGTTTTGTAACTCAGATAGTGAAGAGCCATAATTGCCATACCAGTATTCTGTTTAATCGTTTCTAGTGCTCCTATTATGACTGGGATGAATGTTAATACTGATATTGCCTTCGTTGGGGTGAAATGATCTATACTGATTTTCTAAGCGTAGCTTAGATGTGGCACAAGGCCAAAATTATGTGGCACTCTGTGAGGATCGAACTCACTCTCCAAATGTAACTGTTTTATCGAGTCACGCTTGTTAACCATTACACCACGCCAAGGTGCTTTAGATAGTGTTATATACCAGTATTGTACTTAATCGTTACTAGTGCTCCTACTATGAGTGGGAGGAATATTAAGTTGGGTGGGGGGACAAACATAGAGCTACAAACGATAGGAAGTTGTGGAGGACCATGATCAACCACGTCATGTAGGGATACAGCACATAGAAAAAGCCGTACTAAGCTGTGCGTAGTTAGACGCCACATTTTTTTTTTCATCTCACAACCCCAAGCGATGTTGTTTGGTCGCCATGTTTATAGTTTCTTTTATTTCGTTAACGTTTTTATCGTCCTCATTTATCTTATCGTGTCAATGTAGAAGTTATCCTCAGATTTGTCGAACGCTTGTCTTTGTATCAGAAGCCTGGGGAGGGAAGTGAAAATGAAATGAACGACGTCCCGCCCCTACGTCCGTCCAGTTACTTATAATTAATTCCCCCACTCACCCGTCTAAACCGTTCCTTGTGTTTGATGTTGTAAAAGGTGATAAATTACCTGATACTTCGGACCCGAGTGGTTGAAACTCTAAAAGACATTAAATGGCTTTTGTGGCTCGATATTTGCTTTTGACTGATTGCACGCTCTTAACGCATATATACCATCCATTGCCAGCGAGTTCGGCCTTCAATGAGTGCTCCACTACAACGACCCTGTGCTAGACTAGTCTAATTTGAACAGCGATAGACAGACCGATATAAAATTTAATAGACATAATCAGGCTTAGACAAAAGAAAGATAATTATGATAGGAATAGAGAGAAAATATGATATGAACATAGATAGATAGATAGATAGATAGATAGATAGATAGATAGATAGATATGACATAATCGAATATATATATATATATATATATATATATAGAGAGAGAGAGAGATAGATAGATAGATAGATAGATAGATAGATAGATAGATATGAAATAATTGGATAGACAGATAGATATGGCATGATTAGATAGATAGGATTAAACTGAGATAGATAGATAGATAGATAGATATGACATAATCGAATATAGATAGATAGATAGATAGATAGGTATGACATGACATGATTGGATAGATAGATAGATAGATAGATAGATAGATAGATAGATAGATAGATAAAGACATGATTGGATAGATAGATAGGATTAAACTGAGATAGATAGATAGATAGATAGATAGATAGATAGATAGATAGATAGATAGATAGATATGACATAATTGGATAGATATGACATGATTGCATAGATAGGTAGATAGATAATGACATGATTGGATAGATAGATAGATAGATAGATAGATAGATAGATAGATATGACATGATTGCATAGATAGGTAGATAGATAGTATTAAACTGAGACAGATATGACATAATTTGATAGATAGAGAGATATGACAGATATGACATAATTGAATAGATAGCTATCACTACAACACTTAAGAGCCACTCAAGATCGAGGCTTACTGAATGGTGGTGCTCTAAGAGTTTTGTAAGGATCCTTCATTGCATGTTTTTATTTGGTCCGTCATCCTTAAAGTTATTCTTACGGTATAGACCCGCTTATTTTGTGAAACGAAATATTTTACTTTTATCATTCTATTTCGTTGTTGTACCGGCCTAGTTCTCTTGAAACTGTAAAGGTCTAACATCAATCTTGATGTTGACAATTTATTATGAAATGGGTGCAGTCATTTTGACATTTTCCGGAAAATTTGATCGCTGATTCAACGCCAATAAAAAAACGTCGTTACATGTCGTTTATTAAGCGTCAATATTGTCGTCTGCCCGTAAGAAATTTCTAGAAGATTACAAAAATTTCATCAATTTTTTTAAAAAATGAGCTTAAGGGCACATTATGCACTAGATAAAAGTGTTGATTGAATCCAATGACTTGATTCAAAGTGTTGTGAGTTCAATACCTGGTTGCAGCTAAGGTGAACAATTTTTTTTTCAATGAACGAACAAGAATTTAACTAACACGCTTGAAAGGCAGCCCAAGTAGATTTTGGTGTTGAAAGATGACAGCTGACAGATTTGTGTTCAGACAACCATTAAGTGCGGGGAAGATACTTGTAAAATCACAGGTATCCAGGTACGAAATGATTTCTCGTGTCGTTGTGAGTTCAATACCTGGCTACAGCAAAAGTGAAAAGAAAAATTTTAGAGAGTTGAGTTAAAAGGAATATAACTGATACTAAGAGATCCGGAAGAGGCATGGCACGTGGAACGAGAATAATCTACGCTGGTGGACGAAGTAAAGGGTTCGGTTCGAAGTTCCAATCACCTGAAGAAAGCCGGAGCGTACAACGGTCGAAAGGTCGTAAATATGGCAGATGAGGACAACAATCCGAAAATTATAAATAAAAATTTCTTTTGTTTTGTTCACTATATTTTATTCAGGTAAAGATTTATCTAGCACCATTTTGTGTGTGTGTGTGTGTGTGTGTGTTCCCCGTTGCATAAGTTGTAATGGTTTGGATGTGTGAATATCCCGTGAATGCGTGAATGGTTTTACGCGTGCATCTGGTATTGGTGAAATAACACTAATACCATTCATTGTCAGTGAGTTCGGTGATGCATTGATATTGCCTCGGAGTGAGTGATATTGCCACGGGGTGAGTGATATTGCAACGGAGTGAGTGATATTGCCCCGGAGTGAATGATATTGCCACGGGAATGAGTGTTCACCCAGATTCTGATAAATAGCGTATACATTTGACACCTTCCATAGACTTGGAAAGCATCTATCCTTCAGACAGTTTTGCCAAGATTCCTAGGTAACTCTGGGTTGATGTTCTTACAAACAACCATCGGGATTTTATTCGGATTGGTAACCTTCTCAGTATCAAGGTTTTTGGTAATCCTGAAGACTTTCCTATAGAGATATTACAAAGTTTTTCTCCCTGTAAGAAGGGGGAAATCAGGTAAAGGGTAGTCCTTGTCTTTTTACGGGGAATTAGAGACAAACTTAATTGCAAAGATCCTTTTGCCTTGTCTGAGGGGGATGAAATAACCACTGAACCATTTATGATATTTGAAACTTACGCTTTGCTTCTATTAGGAACTTTTTTTTTTCGAGATTTTACAAAATTCGCAAGAACGAAGATTTTGCTTTCAAACTTGGTTTGGATTTAGCTGCTCTTTGCATTTTTTGGAACTTCCTTTGCATTATGTGCAGGTTCGAGTTCTAACTGCAGGAAGAGTCCTATTACAACGTTTGCTGTAGCAAAGATGTTAGTAGTGGATACGGTGGGTTATGGCTGCTACACACTTCTAACATGCATCGGTTCAAAGCTTAATCTAACAATTAGACAATTTTGCTGTTACCCCCACTATATATTTTGGCCATGCTTGATTATTCCCACTATTTCAGATACCACCAATAGATAAAGAGTTATTATGATTCATATTATTTGCACTCGAACTATTGCTCTAATATTCGTTGTTATTAACACAGCGTTTCGGCCGTTATGCATTTGGGCCTTCATCAGGTGCTTTTTCTAACCTTCGGGGAGTTTTGAACTTAACACTTTATTTAATCTACGGGCTTCCCCTGTCTAGGTATATCGCATACTTACTGTCCTCTTTGTTACCACTGGGTGTAAATCTGCACTACCCACTGCAAGGATTGAACTCACAAAGTCCCCAATCTTACGAACTGAAACTTTAATCCACTAGGCTATTGTAGCGTGGGACAATCCTGAGTATAGAATTTGGAACCTTAAACATATTGCTGATACTGCGGATGCTGCCTGTTACGCTGTTGGGGCTTTTCTGTCAGTGCTCTTTATTGACGGTTCCAATATTTATTTCTATTTTATGTCTTATATGCCTAGCATATGCGCTGATTCTTTCAGACGTCTGACTCTGCAGTATTCATGAAGTATCTGATGATGGTCGGAAAGTACAATGATCGAAACGTTGTGATGATATCAGTAAAGATAGTGACAACAGTACGATTTTAAATAATGTTACGTTTACATGGCATTACGCGGCACAAGCGAATACATCATGATCAGGTCCAGAATCCTTCTCGGATTCTTCCGACTCGTTCCTTCCAACCATCTCTGTCAGGCATCGCTGTCGGTAGGTCCTCCAGACGGCATCCATAGTCATATACAGGTTGGTCAATGTAAGTGTGATGTGGTCTTCCAACCGATCTTTTGCCGCGCAATGGGTTCCCTGGGACGGCGTCACTCACAAGTTCTGACTTACTTCTCCAGGAGTGACCAACTAGCCGAAGACTTCTCTTTCTCTCTTAGCGGAACTTAGGAAAAAGGTGTCCATGCCGGCGTTTCTTTGTTGGATGTTTCTTCCAGCTGATGTCCAATGCAGCTCGTAACATCCTTATGTCTGTTCCGTCAAGAGATGTTTCTTGGTGTTTCGTCAGTGTCCATGTTGTTGAGCCGTAGAGCAAGACAGATTCTACTGTGGCCTTAAAGAAGGCCCTCTTAAGATTGTCAGAGAGTGAAGACTTCCAGACGGTGCTCATATCAATCAAGGACACTCCAGGCCTTGTCTTTGTGGATTTTGATGTCTCTCTCCGTTTTGAGAAAGATATCAAGCGAATACACCTTATATTAACAACGTGACATCTCATAAGTAAATAAGACTGTTAATTATTCGTGTAAGCTGTTTTTAGATATCTGTTGTTTGTTGAAAAAAAAACAACAAATAAATAAGCAAGATAAGATACACCTTTATATTATATCGTGAACTATTAATATAGTAAGTGGATAATTCCTGGAAGAGTAAGTAAAATTAGGAAAGCTCTTATGACAGTCAACGTGTAAAAGAAATAAATGGTTGAACTTAAGGAGGGAATGAGTAATATCTACGCCATGCGTTGTGTTCTCGGAGCGCGGAGTCTTTTGTCCGTCCTCGTTCGTGGTACTGTCCAAAAAGAGCTAGTCTCTCTTGAGTTTGTTGTAGGTCCGGTTGGGTTTGGTTTGTTTTGTTCTACGGCATATCAACACCTCAATGGGTTATTCAATGCTGATCAGATTTTTATTGCTGCTAATATTTATTTTCTTCAAAAATGTATAGCCGGTATTAAAACCTATTTTTAGATTTTCATAGTGTTTTGACTACATTTTGGGGTTAACTATTTGACCATAGTTGGAACACTAACAGCTGTTACCACCCCGTGTCAGGGTGGACCTGGGAACACCAGAAATTAAGAGGAGGTTCCACGCTCCTCAATGCCTCCTGATCAGAGGCTTTGCTGCTGGATGTATTTTATTGCCTTACCCAGGACGCGGATGTATTTTATCGTCTTACCCTGGACGCGGATGTAGTTTATCGTCTTACCCTGGACGCGGATGTAGTTCATCGTCTTACCCAGGACACAGATGTAGTTTATCGTCTTGCCCTGGACGCGAATGTAGTTTATCGTCTTATCCAGGACGCGGATGTATTTTATCGCCTTACCCAGGACGCGGATGTATTTTATCGTCTTACCATGGACGCGGATGTAGTTTATCGTCTTATCCAGAATGCTGATGTAGTTTATCTTCTTACTCTGAACGCGGATGTAGTTCGTCGTCTTACCCAGGATGCGGATGTAGCTTATCGTCTTGCCTTGGACGCGAATGTAGTTTATCGTCTTGCCCTGGACGCGAATGTAGTTTATCGTCTTACCAAGGACGACGCGGATGTAGTTTATCGCCTTACCCAGGACGCGGACGTATTCTATCGTCTTACCCTTGACGCGGATGTAGTTTATCGACTTACCCAGGACGCGGATGTAGTTTATCGTCTTACTCTGGACGCGGATCTACTTTATCGTCATACCCAGGATGCGGATGTAGTTTATCGTCTTATCCAGAATGCGGATGTAGTTTATCTTCTTATCCTGAACGTGGATGCAGTTCATCGTCTTACCCAGGACGCGGATGTAGTCTATCGTCTTAACCAGGACGCGGATGTAGTTTATCGTCTTACCCTGGACGCGGATGTAGTTTTACCCAGGACGCGGATGTAGTTTATCGTCTGAACCAAGAAGGGCTGTAGATCTGGCAAAATCGAGAAGAAGGTAACTTCAAAATCAAATCCATCTCGCCGAGTGGAGAGGCCGGATAACCTTAACGTCCCCGGTACAAAAAGAAAACGGCAAACCATTGCACGACTTTGCTATGAATGTCATCATGAACGACAATTGTGAGATGGTATGCGTTGGAATCCACAGCGGCGCAAAAATGCGATAGCTGAATAAATGATGAATTTTAATTTATTTATCCTTTTTTTTTTTAAGAATAAAGTTGATAAACAAAATCGGAAAATATTTATGACTCAAACTAATAAAACGTTTCTTTTTTTTTAAAAACCCTAGAACACTAACCATCAATTAAAGT